TCATCTGAGAAGATACCACGTTGATAAAACATAGAAAGATTTGAAATACTTTCAAACACTCGAATATAAATTTCAGAAGAGACCTACACTGGACAGAATGTTCGCTTCGACGTCACAAAGAAATGATGATGGTTTGCGGGCGTCTTACAATATCTCGTTACTTATAGCAAAATCCGGAAAACCGCATACTATCGGAGAGAAGTTAATTTTGCCAGCCGTTGAAGAGGTTTTAAAAACTGTTTTACACAAACCTGCATCTGATATCATTAAAAGAATTCCGTTAAGCAACAATACTGTTGAAAGACGTATTGATGAAATAAGTTCTGATATTGAAAGCTTCTTATGTAGTTATTTGCAAACGACCCATTTCTCTATACAACTGGACGAGTCAACTTTCCCCGATAATGCAGCATTATTATTGGCATATGTTCGTTTTATTATGAATCAAGAAATCTACGAAGAATTGTTCTTCGCAAGAACTTTGATAACCGACACTAAAGTTGAATTAATATTTCATGTTTTGAAGGATTACTTCATTGAAAAAGCAATTCCTTTATCAAATATAGTATCAGTAGCTACAGATGGAGCACCTGCCATGGTTGGACGTTATCGTGGATTTATAAGCTATTTAAAACAAAATGTGTCAGGGGTGTTAGCAATACATTGCGTCATCCATCGACAACATTTAGTTACTAAAAATTTGAGTGTTAGATTGCATGAATCACTTCATTTAGTCATTGATGCAGTAAACCGAGTCCGAAGCAACGCGTTGAATATGCGGTTATTTGCGCAGTTGTGTGAAGAAAATGACGAACACTTTCATCAATTACTCCTTCACACTGAAGTACGCTGGCTGTCGAAAGGCTTATGTTTGACAAGATTTTTTGCATTATTGAGATTATTTTAGAATTTCTGGATACTAAAGAAAATTTAATGAAGAGGAAAACAGACATTGCCTATTTAACAGATTTGTTTACAAAATTTAATATGGTTAATTTGCAATTACAAGGCGACAGTTTAAATTTGATTAAAACAAAGTCCATCTTACGAGACGTCTTGCCAGAGTTAATAATAATAATAATAATACGTTTATTTCTCACCACAAAACAATGTTACATTTAGAGTTATAAGTAGCCTATAAGTAGTATAAAACAACTTTGCCCGTGGATCGATGGTGCCTATGGTGGGTAAGGTCACCAGGTCCCCACTTCTGCGAGGAATGCTATTATATCTAAAACATTAACACATAAAGTTTAACTCTAATTCCTTATTTGTCATACCTAATTGAAATAATTGGTTATGGTTAAGAAAACTTAGAAAAGTGTGTATTTGTGTGTGTGTGTGTGTGTGTGTGTGTGTGTGTGTGTGTGTGTGAGAGAGAGAGAGAGAGAGAGAGTGTATGCGTGTGTGTATGTGTGTGTGTTAGTGGGAGTGTGTGTGTGTGTGTGCATGTATGTATGTAGGTGTGTGTGTATTTTACACGACAATCTCTAGAAGACTTTCTGTTTTTGCATAGGTTTGCTTAAGGAGCCACTGGAGAATAATATTTTTGCACTCATATTGATTTCGGGAAAAGAGGGATAAGGTTTTATGCAATTTATTATATAAATAGGGGCCAAGGAATATGAAGAATCTATGACTAAATGCAGTTTTGACTTGAGTAGACTTTGCAACTAGTTGGTTACGTCGTGTCCATTCAGGGATATATTTGGTTGAGGCATGTTGTTTGAGAGCGGTGGTTAAAATGAATAATTGTCTAACTGTTAGTACTTGGCAATAGTCGTAAAGTTGGTATGTAGGAAACATATGCGGTTTGAAGCAACATACTTTTAAGACAGCTCTCTGTGCCCGTTCAAGTTGTATAAAATTACTTTTAGCCGCACCACCCCACGTGGATATGCAAGAAGGTAAAATAGATTGACACAATGCCATATAAACCATCTTCATGATTTCTGAATCTGCAGATTGACGTAATTGTTTAAAAATGTAAAGTTTACGGACTCTGTTTGACAGGTGTTCAATGTAAGCTTTAAATGTGAGGTTATTATCAATTATAATTCCAAGATATTTTATAGATGTCACTTTTTTATATAGTGTAGGTCGTTATTGTCTGTACTATTTCTTATATTAAGGGGAGGCTTAACAACGATTTGTAATGAGTTTGTTGTTGAATTTTTTGTGTTTCGAATAGAAAAGTCTATTAATTTTGTTTTATCTATGTTAAACGTAAGTAAGTGCGCGTTTAATCATTTCTTTACAACGTCAAACACTTTTTGCGCAAGGGAATAGGTTTCAGTCCAAGTATTCGAGTGAAACACAAGTGCAGTGTCATCTGCGTAGGAAAAGATCACCCCGTTTAAAAGATTGATGTCACACAAGTCATTTATATATACTAAAAACAAACTTGGGCCGAGAATACTTCCCTGCGGAACACCGTATGTAATTTGCAGGTCAGAACTACTATAGGGACCAATCCTAACACATTGAGTTCTATTACTTAAATAACTTTGGAATAAAGATAACTGAATTCCTCTTACTCCTAAAGATTGAAGTTTTGAAATTGGGATCGGTATCGAAACAGTATCAAACGCCTTTGTAAGGTCAAGAAACAAGGCAATACATTTTTGACGTATGTCTAGATTCCTGACTACAAAATCAATAAGGCTGTGGACAGCATCAGATGTACACAATTTTTTTCGAAAACCAAATTGATTTTTAGAGAGCAGTTTATTAGTCTCTAAATAATTAACAAGCCTTGTGTTAATTATTTTCTCGAGGATCTTCGACATCGTAGGCAAAACTGATATAGGTCTGTAGTTTTCGATACGATTTCGATCGCCGGATTTAAAAATAGGGTGAACTATTGCCTTTTTAAACAAATCAGGGAAAATACCTGTCTGGAGACTCAAATTATTACAAATATATGTAAGAGGTGAAATAATAAAATTTTTGTGCTTCTTTAAGAATTCTGAAGAAATACCATCCCAACCAGCTGTTCGGTTGTTATCCAAAGACATAATCAAGCGTTCGACTTCACTCTCGTCAGTTTCAAGCAAAACAAAGGATTTGGAATAAGTAACGGATGCCCGATAATATTACATTGCCGAGCCTCTTTCTAATTTGTCTGCTAGTGATTTTCCTATATTTGAAAAATATGTGTTTATATCCTCAACAGATTTTTGAGTATTAATTTCGTTGATGTCTAGGAGATCAGACGCCGTTGATTGCTGTTTAGATAAATTTGTAACAGTTTGAATGACTTTCCACAGTTGTTTGGAGTTTTTGCCGGCTCTTTGAAATTCTAGCTCCTCATAATTACTTTTTGCATTTCGCAGGAGGTTGGTACAGAAGTTGCGATATCTTTTATAAGTAATTCTAAGAATCTGATTTGATGGGTCTTTTTTCGATTTTTTATATAATCTATCTCTGTTTCGCATGCATTTCAACAAAGCCAGAGTGATCCAAGGCTTAATAGGTCTACGTCTACAAGACAGAAATAAAGTTTTGGTATTGTTGGCTATAGCTGAAATAATAGGTTCGACCAAGAATTGAACAGCTAAGTTAGGGTCATTCGTTGTGTATACAGAGTTAAAGTTAATACAGCGTAATTCATGTATAAGCTTATCTTCATTTATTTTTTTTTATAAATTTACGATTACATAATTTCATTTTAATTTTTGAGAGGGAAAACATAACGGCAAAGTGGTCTGTTACAGAAGTTTCCAGAACTAGAACCTTAGCGGAAAAAGCAGTTTTTAAATTAACGTGATCAAGACTGGTAGAACCATGAGTTGGGAAGTTGTGACCAGGGAAGAAGTCCATGATGAACAAGTAGATCAAGATAATCTAAAGTATTTGAAGAATGAAACCCGTTAGCAATATTTATATTAATGTCTCCTACAAGAATAATGGTTCGGTATGATTTAAGGTCCGTGAGGACAAGAACCAGAGACTGAAAGAATTTTGAAGGATCAACAAAAGCGTGTGGTCTATATATAGCAACAATAGCCACATCCACACCTATAGTAATCACCAGACAGTTACATTCAATTGTTATAGGTTCTTTTACTTTAATATTAGCTAAACAAGACTTGATGTGTACAATAACACCGTCATTTTTATTGTAGTGTTTTGAAGTTTTATAATGATCATATCCATTGAGAATCGGAATTATAGGATTACAAGATAGCCAGCATTCAGAAAGAACGATAATGTCGCAGCAAGTATTAATTCTTTCTAATAACGTTAAAAGTCCTGAAAAATTAGCATTGATGCTATGAATATTTTGAGACAAAACAGTGAGACAACTATGATAAGACGTAAGCAAATCAGCACATTTTTCGGGATTACATAATATTGCTTCATTAAAGAAAGTATTATCCAGATAATTTAATAGGTCATTTAATGCAGCGCCTTTTAGTTATGTTTTTAAATAGGTAGCATAAACAAGATTTTAACTTGTATTCGAAAATAAGAATAATTAAACATATTAAATATATCCATTAATGTGTGCAAAGAGCAATTATTATGTAATTTGTGAGAGCGTTAATTTGGTTTGAGAGTTGAATGTGCATGTTTTTTTGTGTGAGGTTATAAAAATAGTCGAGCGTGTATATATTATTTGTTTGTAAATATTTTGTGGGTTGATGTGTTGATGTAGTTTATAAATTAGTATATTATAAAAGTAAACAGTGGGTAGTTTAGAATACACACAGAATAATTTTGTAAACATAAAGCCAGAGACACACTTAGTTAGACATGCAAGCAATTTATAAGAAATCATAATTAAGTAGGTTATGCATAATATTATAAATGTACCTAGTCATATTATATTTTTTAAATTTGCAATATCATTTTCATTTTTTATTTCTATCCGAGCGCCACCTTCAGTTTTCCGCAAATAAATTCGGCCCTTATTAGTCCAGCAATAACGGTAATTCATTGTTTTAGCTGTATCACGTGCTAAAATATAAAGTTTTCGGTCCTTCTTTGTTAAACTTTCAGATATATATATTCGGCATTGTAGAACTAGAAAGACCAATAGATTTTGAGGAGAGTTTATTATTAATGTTAATTTTATTAAACTCTTTCGCTCCACTTAATATCTTATTTTTTGACAGTACCGAAGTTAACTCGGTGATGACAGTAGACACACCGGCTTTAGTTTTAATTCTGAATATGTCTTTTATCTCGGATGGGTGAAAGTTAACATTTAAAACATCGCAAATCTTTTGAACCAGATCACATAAGTCTTGTTGTGTCTCCTGCTTTATGTTTTGTGCTGGAGTAGGTAAATTACGGAACTCGATGACTGTGGACTTAAGCCTTTTTTGCACGTCTTCTAATCTATTTTCCAGACTCAATATATAATTATAATTTTCCTTTCGTTCACGTTCTAAATTGATAATTTTAGTGTTCATACCTTCATACTTTGTGGATATGAATGTTAACGCTTTTTCCATTTCAATATTAGTTGATTGAATGTTGGCGTTTTGTTGCTTAAGTTCGGCAATATCTGAACACAATTTACTCAAAATAAGATCTTGATCCTTCTTCCAATTGGTGAGCATGGATAATAGTTCATCTTTAAGGGAATCATCAATACCTTTCCTTTGATCTTCATTTCTGGTTTTTTTCTGTCTCCTCCCAACATAATTCAGTGGATTTTCAGGTTCAATGTTTGAAATATCACTCTCCGACGACACTTGATGCACTTTACTTCCTGGGGGTGATCTACGTATTATCGACATAATGATATTTTATTTAAGTCCGTAGTTTTCGTTGTGGCGGAAGTACACTATAAGTAGGTTGTTCAGAGAACAAAAGACGACACGCGGTCAGCAGATGCGCAAAAAACAAATGTACTACGATACACACACAGTCACGGATAGACACCACATTGATTATATGAACTCCTAGTACTTCGCTGTTAATTAAAGTTGACGGTTATTTAAAAGGAATATTTAATTAGTGTAACTAACACACGTCTAATAGCAACCACAGTCAGAGGAGGAACCTAATGAAGCAAAATATTGGACGGGGCGAATTTTCTCAGTTCCCCAATTTGTCACAGACAAGCTGCCAGGAAGACGAAGTTTCAACTTACGTTCAACATTTAAATGCCCTCTATTCAGATTTTGAATCTAGGTTTGAGGATATTTTGACTATGGTAATACCACCGTGTATAATTAATCCATATGGTGAGAAGAAACGAATGTCATAATACAAGAGGAACTTACTGAATCACTGAACTAAGTACAAACGAAGAACTTAAGGTTCAGTTTAAAAACGGATATCAGCAATTCTGGCTGCAAAACAACATACCCGTTACTTATTCCGTATTATGGAATATAGCTAGGAAAGTTTTAATTTCCTTTCCATCGTCATACCTAGTGGAAAGGGGGTTCAGCGCTGTTACCAATCTCCTAACGAAAAAAGAAACAGACTGGACATCATTAGTCGAGGAGATTTAAGATTAACCCTTACAAAATTAACGCCAAATGTTGATAATTTATTAGTAAAGCATCAGGTTCATCCTTCTCACTAAAAATATTGACTTATTGCTTATTTTATTTTATTTATAGTTTATTTTATGTTTATTTAATGCTACGTATATTTTACATAACAGATACAAAATTTTATTTTGAGTAGTTTTAATTAAAATTCAATTAAAAAATATATAAATTAATATGTGTTTTTACTTTAAGTTTTTAACACTAAACTTCACTACAGTTAGAAATTTACAGGAAATCAATATCAGGTAAGTAGGGGGTCTACCCAACACGGAAAAACATGGTAAGGGGTCTACAACACAAAAAAAGTTTGGGGAACTCTGATCTGGATGCTTGACGGCCCACCACTGTACGTTTCAAAAGGAGTTTTCTTCCTCGTACAACCTCCCTGTGGAATAGTTTATTACCACCGGCGATTTTTTCGGACCGATACGACCTGGGGACCTTCAAAAAAGAGCTTACTTCTTTCTAAAGGGCCGGCAACGCACCTATAATTCCCCTGGTCTTATCATCATTGCGGCGGCAGGTCATCAACATCAGGTGAGCCGCATGCTCGTTTGCCCCCCTCTTCTGTATATAAAAAAAGACTATGTGCGCTGTAACAAGCAGAGATATTAATTAGTATTTATTTGCGGATATTTTTAATATCCGTTTTGAGGAAAAAGTGAACAATTACCTTAAGAATATATATCTTTTAAGGCTTTTCTATTTTTATTGAAATTGTCAAACAATTTTTCTTCGAAATCGTACCATCTTCCACGATATTGATATTATACTGTACTAACTGCATATTCAGGATATGTGGTGTGCATAGTCAAAGATGTCAGTTTTATTCAAATATTTTTTTCTTGGTATTATTTTTGTTGATTTATGTGATTATGTTTTATCTTCCACAATTTATTAGATTGATTATAATTTCGCAAATGGTTTGTGAGGTTGTATTATGTAAAAAATGCTTATTTTGTAAAAAAATTATATTCATTTACACATGTAAACAATGGTATAGTGGGCATAAGAAAGTCACTTTTGTAAATTATTTGTATTTAAAAAAAAGTATAGTTATTACACACATTAAAAAAATTGTTATTGTTGCGCGCCGAAGGTGACGTCTGGCACTAGCGCCATGTGTCTGTGTCGGGTAACTGAGCGAGGAGAGCTTTCTAGAAAATGACATCACTAATCTTTCAATCGACAACGCCATCTAGTATTGAATTTGGCGAGACAAGCGAAGCTTATGAATCAGTGTGATTAATTATTAGTGTCTTTTAAGTTTTAATTAGTGTAAAGTGAATTACAGTGTTAATTTTGGTAATTCTATAGGCAATTTTTATTGTCACGAACCCTAAGCTCTTAACAATTGGTGTAAGAAGTGGGATTAAATCATGCCGATTTTACCTAAGGAGGAAACGGAGCGTGTCCGTACCCGAAGTCAACGCCAGCAGGAGACGGACCAGAGAAAATTTGGTGGTGCAACATCGCAGACGTCGGAGGGCCAGCCGCAGGCCACGGAGGTCGGCACGTCAGTAACTCCTGCATCTGCAGCACCTGACTTAGGTGCCCTGATGGTGATGCTGCAGCAGCTGCAGCGCGGACAGGAGGAACAGGCCCGTCGGTTGGAAGAGCAGTGATGCTCCTCATGAAGGACCTTCACGCTACCTTCGGGAAGGAGATAAACGAGGTGAAGAATAGGGTTGCTCAGCATGACAACCGCCTATCGGAAGCTGAAACCCAAATCGTGAAAGCTGAAACCCGAATCGAGAAAGCTGAAATCCGCATCGACCAAGTGAACAATCGGGTTGACAACGTGATGGCTGACGTGAAGAAAACGCTGGACAACCTCAAACTGGGGGATGGATCTACAGCTCCCGTAGTAGCTGCAACACCTTCGCTACGTGGATTTAAGGTACCACCGTTCGACGGGACTTCTTCCTGGTCAGCCTACAAAGGTCCAGTCCAGTTCGAGGCTGTTATGAAGGTGAACGGCTGAAATAAAAGACAGGCCATGACTGCTCTCACAATAGGCCTGCGCGACCATGCCTTAACAGTTCTGGAAGCTCTCGGCGAAGAAGTGACTTATGAGCAACTCCTTAAGGCAGTGGAGGCGAGATATGGCGACGCTTACCTGGAATACGTCTTTCGTGTGCAGCTTAAAGATCGCGTGCAGCGCGTCAACGAAAACCTGCAGCAGTGGGCTCTAGAGGTGGAGAAGCTGGTGCGAAAGGCATACCGGTCTGTACCTGCGCTCATTGAAGGAAACCTGGTGCAGGCATTCATCGACGGCATCCGCGACCTGGAAGTCAGAGTTGCTGTGAGGCTCCAGCAACGTTTGAAAGGCTGATGGAACTTGTACTTAACGGGCTAATTTGCGATGCCTCTCTGGTCTACTTGGATGATATCATCATCGTACGTTTGAGGAACACCTTCAAAATCTGGAACGCGTGCTCATGAAGATTCAGAGTGCCAACCTCAAGTTGAGTCCGAAGAAATGTTCACTATTCAAACAGCAAATCAACTTTTGGGGTATGTAGTGTCGGAAGAAGGTATCCGCACGGATCCGGAGAAAATCGCCGCTGTCAAGGATTGGCCGGTTCCAAAAAACAAGACGCAGGTTAGAGCATTTTTGGGTTTGTGCTCCTATTACCGGCGATTTGTGAAGAACTTTGCAGATATAGCCAAACCTCTGCATAAGCTAACCGAGGAGAAGCGAGATTTCTGCTGGGATGAAAGTTGCAATATTGCATTCCGGGAGCTCAAGGACCGTCTGTGCAAAACACCTATTTTGGGATACCCTGATGCAAGCAAAGAATTTATAGTTGACACCGACGCAAGTGATATAGGACTTGGCGGTGTGTTGTCTCAACGGAATGGTGACCAAGAGGTCGTGATAGCGTACTTCAGCAAGTCGTTGTCAAAACTGGAAAGGAACTATTGTGTCACAAGACGCGAATTGCTAGCTGTGGTAAAGTCGTTGCAGCATTTTAGCAAATATCTTCTGGGACGAAAATTACGGACTGACCATGCTGCACTAAAAAGGCTATTGCAGTTTAAAAATCCAGAAGGACAAGTTGCGAGGTGGATTGAACTACTGCAGGAATACGACTTTGAGATCGAACAACGCAGCGGGGAAATCTCATGGCAACGTAGATGCATTGTCAAGAAGACCTTGTACTGAAGATTGCAAACATTGTACTAGCAAGAGAGTAAGGAAGTGGTACCCGTGAGGATGCTCAGGACAGACCACCTCAGCAACGAGTGGAAGGACAGCTTACAACGTGCACAGTAGGAAGATGCGGACATCAAGCCGATTCTGCAATGGATGAAGGTCAGTGCTCCCAAGCCTAGTTGGAGCGACGTCTCAGCGTTGAGTTCGACCACTAAAAGCTATTGGACCCAGTGGTACTGCTTGCTGCTTCAGGATGGAGTTCTGTGAAGTAAACGGGAAAATGTTCGGGGAGACAGCTGTCATTTGCAAATGGTTTCCCTAAAGCTAAAGTACCGGATATTCTACAGCTGTACCATAATAATTATTCAGGAGGCCATCTGGGAGTTAAACGAACTCTACTGAAGATCCGTGAACGGTTTTACTGGGTCCACTGTCGAAACGATGTCGAGGACTGGTGTCGCAAATGTACAAGTTGTGCGGCTGTAAAGGGACCTCAGACTCGTAGTAGAGGTGCATTGAAGTTGTACAATGTTGATGCACCATGGGAGAGAATAGCCATTAACGTGGCGGGGCCGTTCCCGGAGAGTGTACAAGTATTACATGATTGTGATGGATTACTTCACTAAGTGGCCAGAAGTCTTCGCCATTCCAAATCGAGAAGCTTCAACAGTTGCAGATAAACTAGTTCATGAAGTCTTCTGTCAGATAAACTAGTTCATGAAGTGTTCTGTCAGACAGAAGGCACAATCACACACAACACAATTCACAACGATCGAGGAAGGAATTTTGAGTCTCAAATATTCCAGGAAACTTGCCGAGTTATGGGTACTCATAAAACAAGAACGACTTCTTATCACCCGCAATTTAATGGAATGGTAGAACGATTTAATCAAACATTGAGGAGGTACCTAGCAAAAGTTGTAGACAATCGGCAACGAGATTGGGACAAGCACATACAACCGTTTTTGTTATATCGAAACGCTGTTCACGATAGTACATCAGTGACACCAGCTTTCGCAAACTTTGGAAGAGAATTACGGCTGCCCGCAGACCTGATCACAGGGATACTACCTGA